CAACCAGGCCCTATGGCAGGTGCCTGGTGGGTGGCATGAAGGCCGCAGGGAACCCACACAAGAACTAGCTAGTCCAGACTGGGCAGATGGACAGGCAGTTTGTGCTGGCTCCCTGTTCTGGATGTTTTCGTGAGGCCAGAGGGCAATGTAACCAGTCAGTAGCTACACATGGTGGTGCCTTGTCTGGGGGAGTCCCAGCCTGCAGTGTTGCAGCTGTAGCCTGAGCCCTGACCTACTTGCCCTAGCTTTCCTGCTATAATCCTTCACGTGTAGTCCAGTATGGACTTTTGTAAGATAGACCCAGCCTTGACCCTTTCCTTGAGTGTCAGCCAGGCCCAGCCTCTTAGCACTGCATCTGGCAAGGATTCTGCCCCTTCTTCCACCCTTCCCAGGCTTTTGAGTTCAGGGATCAGTTCAATGGGCCTCTGTCATGGCACACAGTGAATCCAGCTATATCTGATAGGAGCGCAGACACTCTGTGACCAGGGCCCCCCGTCACTACTCCACTGTCGGACATGTTTTCACTTGTGCTGCCCTCTCCGCGTCCCTGCCTGCCTCTTTGCTTCCTCTTGGGCCTGACTGCAACAAAACCCATCCGGGCCCATCTGTTCTCCCTTTGACAAGGATTCCTGTCCTTTCCTACTCTACCCCCAGGCCCCAGAAGATGGCTGTGTTCTGCTTTTGCCTCTGAACAGGGGAAACTGGCTATCCGGTTGAGAAAAAGCCCAGAAAACATTTGCTCCATCTCTCCCCAAGACCCTTCTGAGATTGGTTGGTGTCCAGGGGCTCCATCACACACATGGCCTGGGGTCCCTGGCACTGACAATAATGATGGTTCTTTCTTCTCCTCCTCCTCCTTTTTACTTGTATGTGCATGCGTGTTTTGCCCACATGTATGTATGTGGACCATGTATGTGCCTGGTGCTTGCGGAGGTCAGACAAGGCTTCAAATCCTCTGAAACAGGAGTTATGGATGATTATGAGACACAGCAGGTGCTGTTAACTGCTGGGCCAACTCTTTGGTCCCTTATTAGTTCTTTGAGGCAGAAAAGAGCCTTGAGAAAAGGTCTGCTTAGGTATCCAAGGAAGGACTACTGGCTTTTTGTTTTGGTTTTTGGTGTGTGTGGGTGTGTGTGTGTGTTGGTGATTTTGAGTTCCTTTTTAAATCTAACCAGTGTTCGATTCTGAGTAAAAGCCTCATTCTGGGAGATTGCTGGGCCCTGCCCGAGTCCTGGATGTGGCTAGCCTAGGACTTCACCTCCAGCCTGAGCAGAAGGCTCTTGTGCTGTTCTCGCTTCCACGGTACTGGTTGTGTACCCATGGACAAGGAGCCAGTTCTGCTCAGGCCCGTGCTTGACCCTGGAAGTTCAAGAAGCTGGGTCAAGCCTCAAGGTGCCACTAGGCCTGATGGACCTTACCTGTGTCCAGGACACCATGGAAGGCTAAAAAGAAAGAGGCTCAGGCGGCCAAGCAGCACTTGGGTATTAGTGCACTTGGGTATTAGTGCATTTGGGTACCAGTGGCTTCTGTCAAGAGTCTGGGAGTCTGTGATACCCTGAGCGGGAGGCGTTCATATGGGTCTAGGTACCCCTGTATTTGCGGGGACTATGTTCCAGGCTTGAAAGAGGCCGACTGACCACAGGGAACATGTAACCAACTATAAGTTGTGAAGGACCCATTTCTAAAACCTGCTTATGGGTCAGGGGTCCCTAGGGCTTCTCCATGAGCATAGCTATTCCATCTACCTCTTCTCACCCAAAAGGAGAGCCTACCTCAAATAGAACACTCCTGCCCTGGGTATGTCTGAGTACACGTGAGCTGCCCATAGATTGGTAGATGAAAGGGCTAGGTGCTTGCCTGGAAGTATAGGAGCAAATGACTGTTTTCTGGACAATTTAGAGGAGCCTAGGACCTCAGCCCCATGGGGATGCAGCTCTACAGGCTTTGACATGGATAACTCAAGGGTAGCATTTGTTCCGAGGCTGCTGTAATCCAAGTGTCAAACTTTGCTGCGACACATTGCCTCTCCTACCTCATCCTGTGCCCGGGAAGAAACTGAGACCAGCAGAGAGACGATAAGTCCAAGATCATGCTGTTGGTGACCTATAGGCTGAGGGCGGAGCTCAACCCTGTGAGCTCCAAGTCAGTGTCTGTCACAAGAGGGCCTACAGTGTTACCTTGGATATAAGTCCGTAGTTTGCCTGGTTGATGGTGGGATGGCAGCATGGCCTGGCCATTGCAGGAGCAGTTTCTGGAGATGCCTAGGCACTGGAGCTGGCACTGTGGAGTCATCTGTGGCTAAGCTTCTGAATAGGCAATGGGCACAAGTTAGGGGATAGGCAGTGTGTCCAGCTAAGGCTAAATATGGCTGCCTGGGACCTACATTTGAAGTTAGGTCTTGCTCAGGAAGTTATGGGAGGGTGCTAGACTTGTGCATTGTTTATGTAGTGCTTACCTAGAAACCATCCCTTGAATGGCTGGTGAGGGGCTCCAAGAGGTACGCCTTGGCCCTTGGCTGGGCCAGTGTGCCACAGAACATCTTGGGGTTCATTCTGCCATTGGGAGCCCAACTGTCACGGCTTTGACACCTCACTCTTTCTTCCCAGACCTTGTAGACTTCCCCAGAGGCCCAGAGGGACCCAGAGAAAAGCAGGGTAGGCACCACTTCCCTGTGGTGTGGAATTTGATTTGAGTCTGGAATTCCCAGGAGGATAGGCCCTGTGGTCAGACCCCGCCCAGACGTAGGTGGCTTCCAAGGTTGGGAGCAGGAGTGATACTGAGTTAGTGATAGGATTGGCAGCCTCAGCTTCCCATTAGGAGGACCTCAGATTCCTTTCCAAGTCTGCCTGGGCTGAGATTCGAAGCAAGTATCTGCAGCCTGGCTTAGAAGCCTTGAGAGGATCAGGCTGCAGCCAGGAAAAATCCTGCTGCACCTCTGCTCAGGCTGCTAAACCCTAAAAGTGACTGCAGACCTGAGCCAGAGCTTCATCTAAGTCTCAGGCAGCTTCTTACCGGAACGTGACTAAAGCTGTGCACATGAGTGGTGGGCCACAAGGTCCTTGGGTATCTTAGTGCCGGTGTCTTGCTGGGTGAACTTTTTATTTTTCTTTTTAAGACAGGGTCTCAGGTAACCCGGGCTGGCCCAGAAATCACTTTGTATTCCAGTCTTGGCCTCAAACAGTCCTGCCTCTGCCTCCTGAGTTCTGAGCTTACACCACTCTCAGGTCTGGGTAGAGTTCTTGGAGGTTGCTATGGGGTCACGCCCTTCTTCTATGGGGGCATCCCGAGACTGCCTCTCTGAAACACATGAACATTTAATTTTGTGTTGTAGTCCTTTCTGCCTTCCAGAAGGAGCAGTAGTCATTGTCCCAGGAAGTCCCTGGGCAGATGGTGTTTAAAGGACTGTGACTTGAGCCCTTGGTCAGCACCTGCCATACCTATACCCAGCTCCAGTCCTGAGCCCATTCCCATTGACTTCTAGGGGTGGACAGAGCAGATGGGTTGTCCATCTCCACTTCAGGTAGCCCACATTCTGGCTGGCCCCTACCATGTCCTCTTCATCCAGACCCAGCTCAGCCAGGCTACTCTCCTCATAGTGCATGTTTTAATTTTTCAGCCAAACTTAGGGTTGTTTGTAGATAATCATGTGGTGTCCCTGTAGGCCTGGATTCTGCATTCAGCTTCTATCACCATCAGTCTCCAGCATGTAAATTCCATCATTCACTGAGGGCTCAGAGAGCCTGTTAAAGCAATAAGTTGGCAGCTAAGGTTTATTAAGCATGGCAGTTCTGGCATGGCCAGGTAGTGGCTACATATGTCTCTTTCCCTAATGCACACTACACTGTACAGGGCAGCCTCAGAATGGTAGGCATGATATATTGTTCTCTCTTTCTCTCTCTCTCTCTCTCTCTCTCTCTCTCTCTCTCTCTCTCTCTCTCTCTCTCATTCTTTCTCTTTCTAATTTTTTGTTTTTGTTTTTGAGACAGGGTTCCTCTGTATAGACCTGGCTGTCCTGGAACTCCCTCTGTAGAAAAGGCTGGCCTCAAACTTACAGAGATCTGCCTACCTCTGCCTCCCAAGTGCTAGGATTAAAGATGTGCGCCACCACACCTGGCTATTGGTCTCCCCTTTAAAACTGAGTCCCTCTCGGTGTGAGAGGGCTCTCTCCTAGTGGAAGCCCACCCTGGTATAGGGTTCTCAGCCCATCCAGTATCTTTTGTGGCACCTAATGGTACTCTGTATATTGACTCAATAAGAGACCCAGGTTCTAATAGTTTTGTCTCTGTGAGCAAGGACCTCCAGCTGGCAGGTCTGCTCCTGCTGATCCCATCTATATCAGCCTAACTCAGTACCAGGTCTGACCTACCTTTAACCTGAGCCAGCTTAGCCTCCTGCCTGCCATAGGCTCTGGAGCAACCCCAGGAGGTCGTGGCCCTCCCTGGGTGTTAGCAGCTGCTAGTTGTTGCCTATGTTATCAGCAGGGGCTGCTATGGAGGGGCCGGGGTTGACCAGCCTCAGCCATTTCTAGTCCCCACATGAACAGCCTTTTGAAAGCCAAGAGGGGAAATGCCTGCCTCAGCAGCAACCATGACCCCAGGAGCAGCTGCTTGCTGGGTACCTTTTCCAGGTCAGGCAAAAAACCAGGCTTCTATGATAGGGAAAGTGGAAAAGCCAGGTTCCAAGCCCAGATGTGATTGAGTCAGTTGCCATCAAGGTCTGCTTTAGATGTGGCCAGGACCCCCATGACCTGATAAGGCCCTGCTCTTCCCAAAACCAGAGCTAGCTCTATCCCCGTGTCTAGCATGACCCTCCAAGCAGCTCTCAGTGTTTCCTAGGTACCAGCAAGACTTGGGAACCAGTGGGTACTCCTCTACTCTCTCCACCTAAACTCCCTGAGGACAGCTGGTCTGGCTGAAGCCAGCAAGTGTGGGTGAGCACGTGTGCGTGCGTGCAGGCATCCCACAGGCCTGTGAGCTTCACCTCCCTCTCCTTCTTCGCAGTGTACTAACGGTCACTTGATGTGCGCTGGCTGTTTTATCCACCTACTAGCAGATGCCCGGCTGAAGGAGGAGCAGGCCACATGTCCCAACTGTCGTTGTGAGATCAGTAAGAGCCTCTGCTGCCGGAACCTGGCTGTGGAGAAAGCTGTGAGCGAGCTGCCTTCAGAGTGTGGCTTCTGTCTACGCCAGTTCCCTCGCTCCCTCCTAGAGAGGCACCAGAAAGAGGAATGCCAGGACAGGTAACCACGGTGAAGGTGTGGCCTTGATGGCTGGCCCTGGGGACCACATAGGCAGCCCAGTGATAACCCTGTAGGCCCAGGTGGTGAGAGCATGCCTTTCCACAAAAGACAGCTAGGGTCTCCACTAGTTGCTCTCTGGATATGATGGTGGCCCTCTAGGATTCTCTGTGGCTGTTGGGTAGGCCCTTAGAAAGTCCAGTACAGCAGGATCAGTTTGAAAGTTCTGGAAAGTTTGAGAGGGAGTCCTCTTTTGTTTGGCAACCCAGTCCCGGCTCATAGAAACAGCTACTTGCCTGGCAAGGCCCTGGCACCAAGAACTTGTTTCCTGGAATGAGGCTGTGTGGGGTCTGGTATCACGGTCAGCAGCCACAGCTCTAGGCAGAGGGACAGCAGTACAGGGCACAGGAGGCATGTTGGCTAACAGCATAGTGCTTCTCTCTCCTTCACTCTCCCCTGCGTCTTTCACATACATGCCTACATGTGCTCTAAGGGGCTGGGTTCTCAGTTCATTATGTCCTACATATAGGGAAGGGTTTGTGGTTGGGCAGAAGTAGCCTCTGAAAGACTACTGGGCATGGCCATTTACCCCAGCCACAGAGTTGACCACTCTCCTCAACTCCTTCCAGGGTGACACAGTGCAAGTACAAGCGTATTGGCTGCCCATGGCATGGCCCTTTCCATGAGCTGACAGTGCATGAAGCTGCATGTGCTCACCCAACCAAGACAGGCAATGAACTGATGGAGATCCTAGACGAGATGGACCAGAGCCACCGCAAGGAGATGCAGCTCTACAACAGCATCTTCAGCCTGCTCAGCTTTGAGAAGATTGGCTACACAGGTGAGGCGCCCCACATTCCCCTGCATGCCACACAGCTGCTGTTTGGGGCTAGAGGGCTGACAGCCAAGAGCCAGGGGGGCAGGAGGCTCTGGGCAGTGGGCACAGGCTGCGCCGAAGGCTAGGCTCTGGACAAGCTCCAGGTGGACAGGAAGATGCCTTGGGGAAGAAGATAGGTTGGAGAGTGAGCAGAAAGAGGGATGCACCTGCATGGCTCTTACAGAGGTCCTTCCCACCTGTCCCCCTGTCTCTGCCCACCTCCCCAGCAAGATGACCTCCCCCTCATTGTATGGGGCTCCACAGATTTGGGATGTTGGGTCCAACTAGAAAATGGGGTGTGTTTGGGGCGGTCTGGGGGCTTGGGGCCTTACCTTTGGAGCACAGAACAAGAAGAACATTCCATCAAGTCAGGTCCTGTCTGCAGATGTTCACTGAAAGCCACAGGGCCTCCTGAGGCTGGCAAGAAGCTTGGACAGGGCTCCAGAACAAGCTGAGGGTCTCAGCTCAAACTGTAGAACTGGGAGTGGATTGCCCACACAGGAGTAGAATGGACTGGGTCTATGCTCACTGGATCTCATGGCCCCCAGGCATCTGCTACCAGCTCTGAACATGTCGGGGAGCAGGAGCCAGGCCACAACTTGGGCCAGAGAACAAGAAGCACCTGCTGATACTGGGGCCACTCAGGGAAACTTCATTCCCTCTACTGCTCAGCCTACAGCAGGTGGCCAGCTCAGAGCACCCAGGGCAGTCTTGGACAGTCAGTCATGCTATGCTGCCTAGACTAGCCCAAACAGGCCTGAGATGCAGAGGGCCCAGGGGCCTGCATCAGCAGAAAACTCGGGCTCTTGGTTAACGGTAGCCTTGGCTGATCTCGTGGCCTGTGGGGTCTGGGTGGGCCAGGCCATGTGGCTACAGCAGAGGCTGGGTGGGAAGCCCTGTCCACGAAAGAAGGACTGGCTGGCTGCCTCAGAGCCCACACATCCACAGCAGGACGTGCCAGCCACAGGACTGCAAAGGCAGCTCTGCCTGCTGAGCGACAGCCCCACAGACAGCGGGCAGAACCCACACCACAGTGCAACCTCAAGGACTTGGCACTCCCCTTGGGCAGGACCAGATACCGTATGCCCACCTGCCGGCTTTTCTGGCAGCTTTGTATCAGAACCAATAAAGTGCACTTGTTCTCAGAACTGTATCCTGTCTGTGTGTCTGCTTACCCCGCCCCTTCGGGGACAGGGGGCTGAGGGTAAGGAGGGTGGCTCTGTGGGTTGGCCACACCTGGGCCACATGGCCTAATGTCCCCCAGCCCCAGGACTCTCCAGCTAATTGGTGTTAATTCTGTTTGTAGTTGTTCCCCAAAGCTTGTGCACTTCCATTTGCCATAATTGCGTTTGACTTACCTTGTGACAAGTAGAACGCGCTATCTGGGTAAGTTGCCTTCCTCCCTGGCTGAGCCTGTCCTTGGCCTGTTGGGGAAGGCGCCACCCCCTGGCCCTCCCCAGCACTAACAGTTGGCTGTCTGGCCCTGTCTGTCTCCACAGAGGTTCAGTTCCGGCCTTACCGCACTGACGACTTCATCACGCGCCTGTACTATGAGACGCCCCGGTTCACAGTGCTGAACCAGACGTGGGTCCTGAAGGCCCGCGTGAATGACTCGGAGCGCAACCCCAACCTGTCGTGCAAGCGCACGCTCTCCTTCCAGCTGCTCCTCAAGAGCAAGGTCACGGCGCCCCTGGAGTGCTCTTTCCTTCTGCTCAAGGGCCCCTACGACGACGTGAGGATCAGCCCCGTCATCTACCACTTCGTCTTCACCAACGAGAGCAACGAGACGGACTACGTGCCGCTGCCCATCATCGACTCGGTGGAGTGCAACAAGCTGCTGGCCGCCAAGAACATTAACCTGCGGCTCTTCCTGTTCCAGATACAGAAGTAGGACGGGCCCGGGACACCTGAGGAGCAGAGGGCTGCAGTCCAGTAGTGCTGTCCCACCCCTCCCCAGCTTGGCAGCAGCTTCACACAGCTATCTGATCATTTTAGCAAAGGAGGCGAACCAAGAAAATCTAACACTGAGAAAGTCTGCATGCGTGTGCAACGGGGTCCCTGCCTCTGGCTCACCTTCCTCCCCATTGCCTCCCACCTCCTGCAGGCAGCCAGAGGCTGGGCTGACCACAGTGGAAACAGTACTCTGGGCTCCTCAGGTACAGGTGGTGAGGAGGGCAAGGAGCCAACCACCCTCACCCCAGCTCCCATCCTCACATGGAGGTGGCACGGTGGTTCCCTGGCCGGGCTCAGGGGCCCTGGCTGACTTCAGACAGCATATTTGATTGCAATTAAAAAGGCAGCCTTGTTTCCTACTTTCTGTTTTGTTGGAGGGGAAGGCGTGGCCGTGAACGGACTTCATGGGAGATTTGGTTTGGCCTGGTGGTCTGAGCCTGGCCTGTCCCCGATCCTGCTCCTATGTGTGTCCCCCAGGAGAGACTTAAGAGACACTGCCTCCCCCACAGTCTTATCAGAGGTGGGGACTAAAGCCTGGCCCGTGAGCCAGAGAGGGTTGGGCTCCCCAGCCGTTGACCACTCAGAGGAAGCAGGACTTGGCTAGTAGGACTCAGCAAATGTTTTCGGAATGCAGGGTGAAATTCTGTCTCTTCCAGGAAAAAATTAAACTCTACAGGCTCTTTTAAGTGATACGATTTTAGTGAGATATAGTCCATTCGCTTAACTCAGCATAGAGGGCCAGGTGTCCTCAGGGTGCCAAGGAGGTAGCCACTGTCTGTGAGACCTGCATTTAATGGAGGTGGGGGCACCGCAGGACCAAGGCAGAGCAGCATGGTTTATTGCCTAGGCAAGGTAGGCCTTCCCCTTGCTGGGCCATCCACAGATGCTGAGTGGTGGTTGTAAGCAGGACAAGTATTAGGGCCTCACAGAATATGAAGCAGCCATGCTTGATAGGGTGAGGCCCCGGCGCTCACTTCCTTGGGTTCCTCAGAGATAGATACTGAGAAGGGGAGGACTTGCCTCCGTCGTCTTTGCTTAGGAGATGAGGCTCTTCTATCATAGCTTTTTGTTGCTTTAATACCAAAGAACCGGTTTCCTCTGCCCTAACCAGACCTCCACATGCCTCACAGTAGTTCCTACCACCCCATGCAAACTGCCTGGGCCTGAGCTGCTCTGTGCTTTCCAAGCTAAGGGACAGGGTAGTCCTGACCACGTGGGCTCAAGTGCTAATGTTCCACCCACACTGACCTTTCAGAGGGCAGAGGGCTGAGGAATGGAGAGAAGGAACTGTGACGTGGGTACAGGCCTCAGCTGCTTTCCTGAGCACGGTCAGGAATAGGCCAGGGTGGCCCTCCTCTTCTCACGGGCTTAGAAGTTTTTCAGCACTTTGTTTGGCTTACTGCGTGGGGCTTGTGGGAGTTCTCTTCTACTAATGTGACCTGGCCGGGAGGGTTGAGAAGGCCCCTATTTGGCTTCTGCCTACTACCAAGGACCCCATGCCCGATTCCAGCACATCCGTGGGAGCAGTGCCTTTAGGGACAGCCTCTCAAGTGTGCTCACCTGGCAGGTGCAGAGGATCTTTGGGAAACAGAGGAGGCCCCCCCTGGAAGACCCTCTAGATCCCACGGTGATGGTGTGAAAAGGCAGGGCAGAGCCAGCTTGCCCTAATAACCTGTGTCTGGATGTGCGAGAGACTCACTCGCAGAAGGCAGCCTGAAGGTCTCCGGAGGGGAGAAACAGGAAAGGAGGCTTACTCCCCATGGGCACAAGCCAGCTCGGTGGCAGGGGCTCAGAGACATACCCCGAGGCACACAGAGGGTGGGGGCAGGGCCCAGGTGAGACCCACGTAGGGGTGAGGTGCGTCTAACGGTACCCAGGAGAACTGCTAAGGACTCTCAGTGACATGCTCAGTGCGGGCCCCTGCACTGTGACTGTCACGTGCAGCAGTGACAGTGTCATGCGAGCCTTCCAGCCTAGAGGAAGCAGACAGGGAGGAGACTAGTCTGTCTCTTGGCTAGGCGAGGGACTGGCGTACAAACCTTTCAGCATCGTCACTGTGGGACCTTTATGGGGGGGGGGGGGGGCCACACCCTTTGGGCTTCGTCTCTGTGGGCCCTTTTGGGGGGGGGGGGGGGGCACACACCATGTCTCCTGGCTTGTGTCCAGAATCTTGTTATCTTGCTGTCCTAACCTGGCTCTTTATCTGTTGTCTCTGAGGATGGGAGAGGGGTTCAGCCTCAGCAGGTGTTGGAGAGGCTGCCAGAGGGGGTTGCATAGGCCAAGCCAGGCCTCTTCCCCCCTTCCTTCCACCTGACTCATCCCCACTTCCTGTCAGCACCACATCCCTCCGTTGGCCCAAAGTGAGACATTTACAAAACAATAAAAATAATTTTCTAAAAGAGCAGAGCAAGAAGTGTTTTTATGGTTGTTGGAAATGACTTACATGTCAGTTTTGTGGTTTGAATTTTGAGTATTTTCTGTATGTACCTGTAGTTAAAAAAATATTCCAAACCATGTCTTGTCTGTGTTTCCTTACCAGAAGACAGCCTCAGAGTGGGGCGTCCTCTGCTCTGCTAGACTCTCTGGCTGATGAGCCTGTGCCCCATCCCAGGCCGCCAGTCCTGTGAAGCACTTGGATAGAGAAGCTGGATTGCCTCAAAAGGGAACCTGACTCCACAAAGTTGTCTCTGACTTAACACGCATTACCATGGCATGTGTGGCCCCCAAATAATAATAATAATAATAATAATAATAATAATAATAATAATAATAATAATAAATAAAATAATAATAATAATTTTTAATGCTTGTAAAATCCAGTCTTCCAGGGCAAGGCACAGTCTGAGAACACACTTTCATACAACACAATACCGAGTGTAGTGGAGCTGCCGGATCTCATCAGGTTCCTATTTTATGAACCCTGAGGCTAGAGGGAAAGAATTTATGGTCTCCCCATCAGCCCCGGGGGCCTGCTCCATGTCTCAAGCCTCTTGATTCTGTACCTTCCTCCCATCCACCCTTCTTCCCTCACAGTGTCTCTCACACACCTCACCAGCCTGCCTTCTAGGTAGTCGACTTGATTTCAGAGGCAGATGGACAAAGGGCTGGCAATACAGGCCTCTAGCTACTCTGATATCCTGAGACTCGTCAGGACCTAGTCTAACAGCTGCCGTTCATAGGAGGCCTGTCTGTGTCTGAATTTCTTTTTCACCCTGCACAACTCCACAAGAAAGATCTTACCACACGCTTGCAGCCTTCGGGTAGCAAGACCCAAACCTGCCCAGTCCCAGCCTACCACAGCAGGAGGCTAACAGAGTCAGCTGGATCAGGAGGCCCTTCTTAGGCCTATCTGCCTTCCATATCACTCTTCTCAGCAGATGTTACCATCTAGCTGGGTGTTCTACTCCATGGTTTGCGGGGTTTGGTTGGTTGGTTTATTTATTTTTGTTTTTGTTTTTTGAGACAGGGTCTCTCTAGAGAGCCCTGGTTGTCCTAGAACTCACTATGTAGATCAGGAGGACCTTGAACTGAGAGATCCATCCACCTGCCTCTCCCGAATGCTGGTATTAAAGGTGTGCTCCCAGCTCCCACTGTTTTGATTACAATAGAAAATAAACTTGTCTGCCAACAAGTGTGGTGGACACATGCCTGTAATCCCAGCACTTGGGAAGTGAAATCAGAAAGATCAGGAACTCAAGGTCATCCTCAGCCACATGTTAAGCGTGAGGCCAGCCTGGGCTCCATAAGACCCTGACTCAAGGTCTAATGGTGGTGGTGATGGCTCATGCCTTTAATCCCAGTACTTTGGAGGCAAACGAAGGAGGATCTCTGAGTTCAAGGACAGCCTGGTCTACAAGGTGAGTTCCTGGACAGCTAGGGCTGATTGGGGAAACCTGTCTCAAAAAAACCAAGGGACGGGGGCGGCGGTGGGGAGAGACCCTGACTCAAAAAGAGAAAGACTCCTCTAAGTCCCACTTCTCTGGCTTTGTGGGGTCCTGCATTATTTCCACTGGGACCCTCAGTACACAGTCCAATAGATGCTGAGTGTGAGCTTGCTTCATAGCCAGGGGTGAGAGCTCCAAGTCATGGCAAGTGTTTGGTCTTCAAGGTAATGGGGAAGAGAATGCCCCAAATCACAGGATTCCCAGGACAGTTCCAGGCCTTTTGCAGATGAGGAATCTGTATTAGTTTCAGTTCTCCAGCCAAGACTGTAACTCACTTGCCTTTCAGTACAAAGCTGTACAGTTTTCAAGTGTCTTTACTGCATCTTCTGGGAATACCGATACCCACATAAAAGAAACTTTGTTCTGTTTAGTTCAGAAAGCACACTCTCCTTCTTACATCCAGAGACCTTCTGTGTCCTTTACAAGCGGCTGTCCCCCAGGGCATCTGACAGCTCCGGTAAGTCCTCATGCCCAACTATTTATTTATTTGTATTGCCTTGCCTTTTTTGTGTTTGTTTGTTTGTTAGTTTGTTTGTTTTCCAAGAACTCACTCTGTAGCCCTGTACAGCCCTAGCTACCTGGAACTCACTCTGTAGACCTGGCCTGGAACTTAAGAGATCCGCCTGCCTCTGCCTCTTGGGTGCTGGAATTAAAGGCATGCGCCACCACTAGTTGGATTTTGTTTTTCAATGATTTATTTTGTTTTTACTCTGTGTATCAATGTTTTGCTTGCATGTATGTCTGTGTCAGGGTGTCCAATCCCCTGGAACTGGAGTTACAAATATAGACAGTTGGGGCTGGAGAGATGGCTCAGTGGTTAAGAGCACTGGCTGTTCTTCCAGAGGTCCTGAGTTCAATACCCAGCAACCACATGGTGGCTCACAACCATCTGCAATGAGATCTGGCGCCATCTTCTGGTATGCAGGCAGAACACTGTATACATAATAAATAAATTTTTTTTTTTTAATACAGACAGTTGTGAGCTGCCATATGAGTGCCGAGAATTAAACCTGGGTCCTCTGGAAGCAGACACTGTTCTTAACTGCTGAGCCATCACTCCAGCCCCCCGACTTTTTTATTTTATTTTTAATTATTTTTCTTTTAATTTATGTGCATTGGTGTTTTACTTGCATGTATGTCTGTATGAGGGTGTCTAATCCCCTGGAATTGGAGTTACAGTTGTGAGCTGCCATGTGAGTGCTGGGAATTGAACCTGGGTCCCCTGGAAGAGCAGCCAGTGCTGAGCCATCTTCTCCAGCCCCCGTACCACCTGTTCTAGGGGATGCCTTCTTTTGGCCTCAATGGGCACTAGATACACATGGTGCACAGACACACATACAGGCAAAATATCCATACGGATAAAATAATAATCAAAAAATTTAAAGGTAAAACTTACAAGCTAGGTGTGGTGGCAC